GAATTTTCAAAGGTCAACGCGCATCGCTTGTAAAAAAAAAATAAAAATAAAAATTATAAATAAAAATAGAAATTAATAATAAAATCCGATTCAACCTGAGAGATTCATGCACATCTTTAAAAGCGATGCAGACAGCACATTAAAGCTATTACCATATCTAAGAATGCATGAATGCAGAAATGCAATGATGGCAATTCATTTATTGATATACATCGTCTATCACCCATCTCGCGCGAAAGGAAATCGAAGAAAAATATTTCAAAACAACTGCACTTGTTTATCCTGAATCAGATTACAAAATCAATAATGCATAGCGTTTCCTAGATTAACGATTTTTACGTACTCTGTTGGAATAGCCTCTTTTGTCAAACTTTTTGCGTATTTTATAATGCCCTATTCTTAAGCAAATGAAGTTAATATATTTTAATGTAAATCTACTTTTACTTACAAGAAACAATTGCGTAAAATATGTAAATTAAAAAGATTAATAAGAATTTATTTAACATAAAATTGCCAATTCTTAAATTCTTGAATCTTTTGAATATTTCTTCTTAAATATTTTCTTGAATATTTTTGAACATTTAATGTTTTCATTTATCACATTCCCTTTTATTTTAATAATATTTCAAACTAATCTTTAGAAATATTTAATCCTTGAAGGAATAGAATTGGATTTAATTTACGACCAAAAGAAACTATCAATTTATAAGTCAATTTTGTAATTTAATATTCATCGAGAATGAAACGCTCTTAAGTTTGATATGCAATTTTTTACGCACTTACATGCTACTGTATGACTTTTCAGAATTCTCATCGTTTGGATAGGAATACCACGGCATTTGAAACTTTAGATATTTCATTATGCTTTTGAATTATCTCATTATCCTTCGGAATTGCGACACACGAGATATATCCAGAAAAATAACATAGATAGGAAAGGATATTCAGCTAAAATATTCAAAATGCAATATATAAAACACAATACGCGACATATAAAAAACAATAATAGCAAATATGAAATAAATAATACTTTAGACTAGAATATCTATTTTTTTCTTATTAGAAATAAAACTGGATGAAAAATAATTATAAGTTAAAGAAGTTTTATTAAAAGTAAAATAAAAACTTGCTTTTTCTATGAATCTTCTCAAAAAAGAGAAAGAGAAAAAAGGAAATGAGAGAATTACATATTTTTGTAAATTTTAAAGTATAACAATATATAACAATAACTTGAACACAGTCCAATAAATAATAGAATGCTTTTGCAATAACGAAAATGAGTGGATTATAAATAATAGTAATGATTTTTATATATTTAAAAATCATTTACGCTTTAATTGTGCAGATCGTACTTACAGGAATTTGAAAATTGCTTTTTCGAGCAAAATTAAATTTTTCAACAAATTTTCTACTCTTGTTGGCCGCCGAGATTTCTCATTTTTTTCCTTATGCTTCTTTGAGATAAAAATCATGCTCGATATCGAAACATCCGCTCTGATGCCGAACAGTGTAGATGTTAAGCGCGGAGGGACGCTTTAATTAAACTTATAACTATTATCCACAGGTCGAGTTTAAGCTGCACCATTATCAAGCACCAAGCAGACGGATGGCCAGGAAGCAGCAAAACGCAGGAAAGGAGCAGGAATTAGGCATCCTGTATTTTCGTAGCTTCTTTGAAGCTAAGGATGCGAGAAATAATTTCGCAGGACGGTGCGGAATATTACATAACATAGGGCAAATATTAATAAAAGATTTAAGGAGTTCAGTTGGAAAGACAACCTTAGAGAAGGAAAAGCAAGATAGTTCTACACCGATAAACATCCTGTACAAATAAAAAATAACGAGAACTGCTTGAGTCAAAACAGCTCTTTCGCGTCTCTCTTAAGTTATGAAATTTATTAAATCTGACTTGTTTACTGGAGCGATATTGAAATTAATATCAAAGCAAATGCATGCTAAGTTAAAAAATAATATTCTCATTAATATATCATGTAATTAATAAGCGAGGATAAAACTTAAAATGTAAAATTTACTGTTACGAGTTCTTTATGACCTTTTTAGTAATGATTATGTCCGAATAATAAATTGACTATTCTTCTTTGGAACACCGACATAAAATGAAATCATAAAATCGCTAGAAGAATTATTCATTTTATCACTGAACAAAATGGTTTGACATTTATATAAAAATTAAAACACGATCCAAGCAATAATAAAATACTTTTATATTTTAATTGCATTGGTTATATTTAATCTATACACAAACTGTACATTATATATTAAAAATATATCAACAAAAGGAGAACGAAAATCGAGTCTATTGAAAATCGAGTCTTATTTTCGTTAATTTAATATGCAAAAAATTCGACAAATGCGAGTATTTTTTTTTCTTGTTCAAACACATCCAAAGAAACCCATTGCAGAGTCGTTCCGACAGAAGTGGTATTTTTCTCAGCGAATGAAATTAAACCGACAGACCTGCTCCTCCAAGAAAGCATCCGACTGCATAATTCTCTGCGTTTAAAACGCCGCAACGCCATTCTTCCGAGTCGTGAAGGGACTTGGCTTTCCCAGAAAGGTGAAGTTTTTTAGTCTGCAGGTGATCGTCTTAGACAAATGCGCGCCTTCTTCCCGGCAGACTTTTTCAACAAAGTTCCACTGCACTAGAAATCGCCGTATGTATGGAACTAAAGAAAAAGTAACTCCTATTTGTGATTAGATAAAATACAAATAAAAACACATGTAACGCATATATTTATATACCTGCATTTTTTGAGATGAAAACAATGAAAAGAACTAAATTTTTAAAATAATTATGAAGATCAGAATAGCTTCAATTATTTATTAATTATAGGAGGAATAACACAGTAGTTTGTGACATCCGATGAAAAAATCTTTTTTGTACGATTTCAACATTAAACTACAAATCATTATTATTTCAAAATGCTTATTGTAAAATTAATAATTTAATATGCATTTGAAATAATAATTTGCTAAGCTTTCTTAATTTTTATATGATGTCATTTTTATTCGTCATTATATAATTTTTGAAGCTTTTCGAAAAATTTCGGAGAGAAATAGACCGCAGAAAATATTCAGAAATTGTGCATTGAACTCTCTCCAAAAAATATGTGTTTTTTTAGTAAAATATCATTTCTGTTCAGCCGTAATCAAAACACGCACTCGTAGCTCTATAAAAACAGTCGATTTTGACGTTTTTACGATTTCATTGATTATAATATTATTCCTTTGATTTTTGACAAATTAGCTCTCATCAGAATGTCTTATCGCCCATCAAGACTATCTTATTCATTGATCTTATTCAATGAATATCTTATTCATTGATTTTATTGTAAACGACTGCAAAAATTTATAAGAAAGAAAATCGATGAATGGAACCGGAAAAATGGTTTACCGACGGATAATGAAGACGCTCTGCCATCATTTACTACGGGGATTTCATCTGGAACCCTTTACCCATCCTTTTGAATCTTTCTTTTTCTTTTTTAGGAAAGATTTTATCTTCGGCTATACAAATAATTGATGTCCGTCAATTAATAGAAAAAGTACTATTGTAGCAAAAATTTCTATCTTGCGACAGCTCAATATAAGAATAAACTATTATAGGTACATTTGTCGGAAAGTTCATATTATTCTTTTTAATCTACTTTTTATCTTTAACTTCCTTTCAATTTATTAAATGTAACAATTTAGACATAATGTATTTAAACTACACTTTAAAAATTTATATAAAACAATAAAATAGATATCATACAAAGAGCTTATATTTTAAAACATTATTTTATGATTATATGCCTAGATGTATCCAGAGGAGAGGGGAAGAGTTTAAACCAAAATTTAAAAAAAAATTAAAATAAAGTTAAAATTATAATTTACAAAATTTAATATTTTTCTCATTTAAAATCAGGAACGAAAAGATATTCCAAGCTCTAAAATATCCAAAAAAGCAATTCATTAGTACAAAAAATAGCTATTTATCTGTTAAGAGAATTGATATAATCCATCTCCCTCCCCGAAAAAATGTCCTGAATACGCCCATGATTATGTATTCGAAATCAACTTTAAAATATATAAACATGACTTAACTTAATAGTTATCTTATTTAATGAACTCTTTACTATTTACCAAAGAAGATGAAGGCTAAAAAATTATATGGATTAATATTATCCACAATAAACTGTTGCCTAAACTGTTTCATTTGCAGTCAAAGTGCAAAATCGTGATGACTATGTTGTTGTAGGAGTTCTGAGGATTTTAGTTACGTGATTCGCTATGTAAGCTCTACACAACTTTACAGCATATTGCGCGATAGTACTTTGTGTATAAAGGATTATTATGCATTTTCGGTATCCCATCATTTGATGTATAATTATACTTATAAGCGACGTAAATGTGATTATGATTATTCAGTCATAAAATTTGAAAAATAATATGAATTTATTTTCATCTTTTTTCTATAAATGTATAGTCATGCAGTTAAATTATTTGTCACAATTTCGATATTTGTAAAAAATGGACAACGATTAGTGTCTAGTGAAAACAAATTAACAAATATATAAAATTAACAAATATAACAAACAATTTGTACAATTGGCTGTAACCAAAAACGGCGCTTCAGAGTGGAATGACGATATATAAAAAAAGATGTATATTTTTTTTCATTGTCAGTGATATAGTTCTCTCAAGATTGTATTAAGGCCTAACGTCACTCTAGAGGCCGAAAAAATAGATTAATTTTGACATTTTTTTTGGAAAAATAATAAAAGAAATCAAATATCTGGTAAAAGGAGTTTATTATATGCATCTTTAAGAATATAAAAATAATTTTAAAAAATTTTTTTGGTCAAAATGGTGGCTCCAGACGATGACAAAGGCCTTTTTCTTCACAGAACTGCATGGCCGAAAAGATAGAGCCAAAAATATTGGTCCTAGAACAAAAAACCAAAAAGATTTTGAGTCTCCATTTCAAAATCTAGGGAACTACGTAAGGGATTTAAAAAATGTTAATTTTTTTTAAAATGGCGCGCATTTGAACAAAAAGTTCCATTTTTTCGCAAAAAATCGCGTACAAAATTGTTAATAAAAAAAAAAATTTTCAACATATCACAAAATCCCTACATAGTTCCCTGAGATAAGGTATTACGCTGCATATCAAATTTCAAGTAAATCGGTTAAAAACTTTTTGAGTTATGTTTCCGGTCAGTTCGAAAAAAGTGATTTCGAGAAAAACGCGTTTAAAGTTTCAGTTATCATTCAATATAAGAAATTGTTGATATACCTTTAATTTGCAATGCCTGCACCGTATAATTGATCTTCTAGATTCATATTCTTCTCCTCCTCTTCCTTTCGGATCGATTTTAAAGTTAATGTTGCCTCTTTTGCAGCCTCACTCATCGATAGCTCCGAATATTTGATTCGGCGAGCGTCAGCTTCTTGACAGAAATTATAACAATTTGGTCCAATTGTCATACCTAGGACTGCCATAATCTGCATAATACTTGATAATCCATCGTTGTAAATATATACAACAATATCAGTTGCAATATCAAGTACATGTTTCCCACTTGAACTTGCTTTTGGAGCGATCGACCAAATAATTGAGTTGAAGCACTCATTGTTGTTTTGTGTGTAGCCGCCTATGTAGCGAGTGAGAAGATCTTCGTTCTTCGAGCCCTTCTTACTTGAAAACTCTCCCTTATTACTCATTTTCCCACTTATTTTTCACTCAAAAAATCAAAAATTATTAAGATATTGTGCAATCAGGCGCATAAAAGCGGAAAAGATATATGTGTAAAACATATATAATTCATCGGCGATAAGATCAGATACATGGCTAAAGAAATGTAATTAAAAATAAACAAGAATAAATTCGTCGATGATAAAACAAAAATTTATAGTATACGACTAATGAAAACAAAAATTAAAATTAAAAATAAAAATTAAAAATTAAAAAAATAAAAAACTAAAAACACGGACGTCGTTTCGATCTTATATTAGGTCTTCTTCAGTGCGGTAATCAAAAATTATTATTTCAAAACAGTTAAAAATAAAACAAAACTATCAAAAGAAAATGAAGCGTCGTACATGCAGCGGGATGCCACGGTTTACCTCCAAAAAAAGGACCTTTCAAAATTTTCCGTTATATAAAACTTATCCTACCTTATTCTTAAGGGCATAAACATCATTTTAACCAAAAAAAATCGATTTTTTTAAATTTCTAGAGTGGCGTTAGGCCTTAAATCATTCAGTAATAACAGAATTTCCTATTTTCCATTTCAAATAAGAAACTAGTTCGGATTTTAACAATAGCTTTGCAATTATATTATAATTATGCAGTGCAATTAAGCTACCAAACAAAAAATATAATTAATGCAAAGAAAATTATTTTTTTTGTTACTATGGAAATTATTTAAAATAAAAATATAATTAATAATTTTATTAGAGAGAAAAGTTGTGCATAATTACATTTTCTGAATATAATGGCAAAAATTATACTTTTTTTAAGAAACATTTCATACAAATTCTTGTAAATTAATAAATTTTGTTAAATTGTAGGAAAAAGACACGAACATACTCAAATTACTTAACTATCAATCCTAATCGTGTTTTTTTCAGATAATTTCATGGATTTAGATTTTCTCCAATTGTAATCCAAATATAATATTATGGATTTTTCAGTAGTCTTTTTAGCATGATTCTTACTTTGTAATTTCATCAAATGCAGACTTCGTCCTATAAGATGTTAAAATACCTTTTATGGAAAAAGTGTTGACATAGTGTACCGCTAGATCGTGTGCCGCCCCGTGTCGTTGCACATTGGTGTGTAATTTCGTTACTCCGCCCCTTCCAGAACTCTTTTCCTGTGGCTGCATTATCATCCTCCGGTCTATTAACAGTCTTATGCAAATTTTATTTGCGACCCACCAGCGTTGTTGGCAAAAAAGGATTCAACCCGCCGCCATCGTCCTCCTCGTTGCAAATATCCGCACTTTAATGTTATCGGCATTGCGGAGGGCCAATGAAGTTTCAAGCAAAAATATCGCCGGATATATTTTCACTTTACAAACCGAAAGCATACGATTACGGAAATTTTCATCATAAAGCCGGATGCAATAACACAGAATAAACGTTAAAACTTAGCAAATTGTCATAAAATATGAAGAATTTTGATGGAATTCTTCTCCAATTAGTCAACTACAAACATTTAATTCAAAATAAAAAAACATGAAAAATGCAAACACTGCAGTAATTTATCAATATATGGCAATGGGCATAGAACTGGTGGAGCGAATTTTATAACAAATAAAAATTCGTTAATTATTACGCGACAGATAATTGATAGTAACAATTCTAAACGAGTTACGGCTTGAATTTAACCAAACGTAGTTAAATACGCATGAGAAAGCTTCGCCTCTCGGTGCAAACAATATTTTACTACACAATTCAGCCTTATTGCTCCAGGACGTAAAAACTTTTTTAAATGTATTCGTGAAAAATTTTTTAATAAATACATATTAATATTTTTATTTTCAATATTTTTAAAATTTACGACTGGTCGTCCGTGATATGTCATCTTTGTAAAATACGCCATTTGAAATACCATGGCAAACTATTATTAAAATAAACTAAGAGTCACAGTATATAAAACATAAGAATAAATCAAATTATAAAGATGATTTTATTATATGTAATCAAAGAATTGTGAAGTTAATTGCAATTTTTGAAAGAATTGCAAATGAAAGACTGTTTAAAAATAAAAATAACAGAAAATACATTTTATTTTAATAAACGCAAAATATTTCAATTTTGTTTTGTGCAAGTCAATAAGTATATTGCGATTGCTTAGTTCTTGCATATTCATGTTCAAGTTGATAACAACTATTCAATGGCTTGCACTTTTCACCTTTCTACCTTCGAGTACTGATACGAGAAATATAAATTCTTTATCAGCAGTAAAGTAGAGTTAGATAAGGTGAGATGTACATCGGTCAGGTGAACGAAATTGCTACAAATTTGTTGTAGCGTGAAATTGAAGTCTTATGAGAGTGGAAAGTATAGCAGAAACGTGAGGAACGTGTAGTGTTCTTGTGAGATAGTGATGAGTGAATTTTTATACTTATTCCTTGTCATTGTAAAATTCATGAAATTATACAGTGAAATATTAATGATAAAAAACTATATGTTATAACTCTTGAATAATTTATATGAACACACACACACACACACACACACACACACACACACACACACACACACACACACACACGCACACACTAGATATAAAGTTTTAATTAAATATTCTTTTTCCTCTCATTCATTACATGAAAAAATATAAATAAATATGATTAAAATTCAGAAACAAGTCAATAATTTGTGTAATATTTTATATAAGTAAAAACGTTAAGAGAAACGGAAATATTTTCTTTTGAATTATATAAAGAAAGTTTGCGTATGCATATTTTGAAAAATAGCAAAAAAAGATAAAAAAGTTTGAGAGAGGAAGAGAGAGAGAAAGAAACTTTGCGCGCATTTCAGCTCCCTCCCCGTATCTTATTTACCCCCGCGCTGATACCGACATTTTTCCGAGAAAACACTTCAGCAGCGCGCATTGTTACAAAAGAGCTGTAACTGGAAGAAAAAAGTCGGAGAAAAGTCATTCTATTTAGCTGTAATTATATCGGGATAGATCAAGCGCTAAGGAGCAATTTAACACAAATTAGTTTAGACATATACGATCACGATTCGTAATTTCTCGTGGGATAAATCTGAACTTCGATATGACTGTCGATTTCACAAGGCGAGACTACATTCGCGTAGGGAAAACACAAATTTCCTGTAACTCAGTCAATCCCATCTGCTATCCTTTACACGACTGCTACTTAGAGGATTCATTGCTTCCCGTTGGGAATATATATTGCTTTTCTACTATGCAATTGCGTTTGCGAATATTATGTACTAAAGTAAATGTTGCAAATTTTATACATTAAAATATATTCATTACTGCATATAATAATAATAATGATAGAGAGAATAATAAGAAAGATTTCTTTATATTTACTTTCAGTTTTACAATAAACAGAAAATGGCAAACTATTCTAATCTTTTTTCCCATAGTTAACTGCATAATACGATTGTGTTCACATATCCATTATACATTATTAAATTTAAAGTTACATTTCAAATTCAAATCTATACCACATCCTAATATGTCTTGTCTCTGACGTATTAACGCTAATATTAATTGTCAGTGATCTTGGTCAACTATATCTGAGGCATGCTTAGAAACATTAACATAGGAAGGACCGGTAAATCATCATGTAGCCAGTATTAGTTCATCTCGGGTTGTCGAGGTAACACTCTCAGATTCCGAATACATTCCAAACAAGGTTCATCCTTGCCTCATAGTCTAGTGCATACGTACATTTGACTGTTTCATATCGCGTTACGTTAACCGGGAAGGTAACTTCAATCAACCCGAGATTCGTAACATAGTCAACTGATAAATCATTAATCAGACTCGATTGACTGGCAGCCATTGGCTTCATTCTGACACATATCGCTCCGCAATTCCGTATCAACTATTGAAATTGGCCATATTATGTATAACTGTTACATCGTAACATTAGCCTTCACCTATAAACGGAATAAATAACGATATTTGATACACAATGATCAATAAATAGAATAGTTATTTTCAGAAGAACAAATTCGATCAACTACGAGCATTGTTAAGTGTTATTCTATAATTTAAATATTAGTTTCAACTGGTAACAATATCGGACGCGCAAATTTATCTTAATCAAACGATAAAATTTAGCTCCCTGATAAAGCTATTACCAATAAATTCAATTAATTTAACAAATTTATCCGCTGTATAGCAAATATAATAAAAGTGTAGATAATGACAAAACGAACTTAATGTGCTATTGTTCAATATCTGAACAATATAACTTTATTAATTCATTTTTTTCACATTTCTTTTAAATAATTACTTACATATAATTTACTACATACACTACTTTACATGCCTATGAAAACAATCGCATTTCTTTTTATGAATATTGTTTTGGAAATTTAATCTTTCTTTTTCATTCGCATGCGTAGTACAGTTACATTTTGTAAAAATACAGTTCCACATGTAAATTTTAACACAAAAGAAATTAACGTATTTTCATATATAATATACATTTTTTGTGTAATATATGTGGCAACAGGAATTTTACGTAAAAATTCAGGCGAGCGTATTTTTTCATAATCTCGATTTATCTCTTGGTGATGCAGGCAAAAGATTAATCTCCGTACGCCTGGCGGTATGCGCACGAATAAATTTAAATCATGATAAAGTTGAAACCATTGGTAGGAAAGTAACTATAAAACTTCCTGTTTTCACAACAAAAGCAACGTATGATTGAAGCTTGATGTCATACAATCTAAAAATCCGAGATTATCATTAACTGTGCTTTCATATCGCTTGTTTTTATCGCGCGTCATAAATAATTTGGAAAAAAATTAGTCATATATTCACTAAGATTTAACTGGCTTTAATACTTGATATGAAGAAATGCATATGTAAAAAGATAACATAGAATATAATAACTGCATACAATAATAGCATAATAATTTAATTTTAAAAAAACATACAGTAGCTTTTGTAGAATTTGTAGCTGAAATGGTAGAATTTGTTGAAAATCACAAACTCGTTCGAGAAAATATATTTACTATTCTTTTTAATCCATGAATACTGATTAATTAGACAATTCATTAAAAGCCTTTAATTTTTAATATGCAGTATTAAAATATCTCTATTTATTTTTTTATATAAAATTTCATCTGGTAATA